TCACAAACCCGTTCTAATGCAATAGCTGATCCATTAGAATACATAACAGTTACCAATGGAATCTCGGTTAATTAACATAAAGTTGGAAGTTTTAGGAGACACGGCTAATTTACACCGTCTGTATCGTTACAGCATAGCATTCAGAGTCTCTGAGGCGTAATAGTCTAGATGTCTCATTTCTTTTCTCGTTTTTATTTTTTTTGACGTTCTTAATTGTTGTTAATAATTGTCGATGACACTTTTTAAATCCAAGCGTGGTGTCGTTAGGTTAACGTAAATCATTCTGAAATTTAGCCAACATGCACAGCTTCCTATTGTTTGTATATGGTTAATCTATGTAACGCTCTCTCCTGGTAAAAGGAGACGTCGAGTTTGTCGTAGAATAAAATTGTGGTGCGATAGATAACAGACACAAGAAATAAAGTTCACTAATAGAATCTTTCCTTACCTTGAGGGTGAAAGAGAAATCTCCAACCCGAAGGGTGATTTTTTTTTTATTATCTAACCCGAGGCTCTGCCGAGGGTTAGACAACAATAATAAATCATCCCGACTAAAACGCGAGACACCTGTGAAGGGTGGGAGAAATATTAATCTACTCCAGCAAGTAAAGTTCAACAGTAATCCACATACGTTCACGACACATTCCACTTCTTCCCCACTAAATTCCTCTTAAAGAAATATATAACAGTTTAATATCCTACGTTTTGAAACGTATTTTAGGAGTGCCTGAATTAATACATTGGGTTCTATACTGCACTGGCATATTCAACATGAGGGTTGTTAGTGCCTAAATAAAAACATGTCCTTGTCCATATATTCAAATGTTCTTCTCACCACACCTTACATCCTGTTAGCTATCGCCACACATTCTGATATTTGATTGTTGAATTTCAAGTTCTTATAAAAAATTACTCCCAAATCTTTTTCTTCCTCAACTTACTCAATATCTTTTTCCGCCCCATTTTCGTTCCTATTGTTGACTTTTCCATTATTGTGACCGATATATAATGATTTACATTTACCAGCATTGCATTTCAATTGCCAGTTTTCTGACCAGTTACTGCAAGAGTTTACCTAAACCCCTTTGCACTCTTATCTGTTTTTGTAGCGTCATTGCTTTACCGATCAATTTGGTATCATCCGCAAATAATTATATAATTTGATGATTGTTTCGACACATTCTAGTAGATCGTTTATAAAGATTAAGAATAAAATCGGTCCTAGTACGCTTCTTTGAGGTATTCCACTTTTTCACTTCTGCCCAACTAGATGTTTTTCCATGTACCACGACTCTTTAATTGATTATTATTTCTTTATTTCCTCCAAATTGAAGAGTTACAAAAATATACAGTGTAGTCAAAATATAAATCAAATATTATTAATTGATAGTTACATGCACATAAATACATCAGTTAACTACAGAGATGAAGAGAGAAGTTAATGAAACTTGAATTAGTTTAGTAAATACAGAAAGAATGGTCTCGTTAACAGCAAATCATACAAAATAATTAGAATGCCTGGGAATCCTGAGGTTTCCAAGGATTGGGGAAAGCCCTACCAACAAGGTCTTCTCATGCTTACCCACACATAAACACACAAAAAATAAGAGAAAAAAGAAATAGTAATTAGCTAGACATTGCTATTGTACGTACGTCCGTACGTGTTATATCATTATTAACGCTGATACAACAGCAACATTTTGTCAATAAAAATAGCATTATGCAGTACAAAGATTACATAATCAGTTAATTGAGCTTAATATGTGGGGGAAGGCTACCCCCTAACAATACATGAATTAAATCATAATCAGACAAAGAGGATAAGAATACGCCAAGTTCTATATCAAAAGCTGTACTTATAAGACACCATAGATCGTCTCTAAGACTTTCAGTTTTTGTACAATGGATTACTATATGTGTTATACAGTCATTATGTAAAATACCACAAAAATGGCATAATTCAATAATATTTGTTGATCTTAAATTAGCACATAATCGAACTATATTGCTTATCTTGCTTAGATGTTCAGGGAATTTTAATGCTAGTGTCCATAAAATATGTGGAGAAATTACATCATGAATGAGCAAAAATCTTGTGAAATCTGAATCGTTGTTCATTCTATCGTACATCATTAATTCTTCCCAATTATAAACTGCTTTATAGGAAATTGACTTCCATGATGAATTACTTGGAAAAACTGTATCTAATATATACTGCAACAGATAATTAAACAAATCATACTTGCGAAGTATTCTCACAATATCAGGAATAAAACCAGTTTGACAGGACTCCTTCAAAATATGCATGAATAGGCGTTTGAGAAATATAGTATGAGTTAAGTATTAACTGTCCAGTCTACAAAGACGACCGAGAAACAAAAAGTTTTCCTATATCAATGTAACCTTCTATGGAGGTCCATCCAATTAAGGAGTTGGCCATATCAGTTCTAGTTCTAATGTTTAACCCTTGAATGGATTTTACGATAAAATTTTGAGCGCGCTCTAATTTGATTAGTTCTGTTCTAGACAGTTGCCATAGTTCACACCCGTACAGGGCAGACGGGAAAACTTTAGCCTTAATCAGCTTTGCAACTGTTAGAGGATTAAGGGTCCTAGGATGAGCACCAGATCGAATAAGAGCCATGGTTCCACTTTTTAGCTTCTTGCATGCAGCCTCAGTTCTGTCCGATGTACACAATTTAAAATTCAAAACAACACCGACGTGCGTAATGTTTTCAACAACTGGTAATGCTTTACCATACAAATTCACATCTTTTACCAAGACTTGTCTTCTTTTTGCCCTTAAATCCTATTTTGTACATTTTGAGAAGTAACCCTTCGTGCCAAACAGTATCAAAAGCTTTCTTGCTATCTAAAAATGAATCAGAGTTATTTTCTAGGTTGTATCTCACGCATTCCTGTAATTAAAGGAAGTGCATAGACTACATAAATGTTTCATATAAGCCGACTGCTGTCTGTTTGGAAACGTTTCTGAATCTAGTAAAGAGAGACAAAATTGACTCGAATATTTTAAAAAAGACGGGTATAAGAGTTATACCCCTATAACTGTTTGGGTCGTCTTTGGGTTTTCCATTGCCCTTGTACAAAGTAAAAATTGTTACTTTTTTCCAGTCTTCAGGTATATGCTCATATTTTACAATGAGGTTGAACAATTTGGTAATGAGGCTTAGTAATCTATCACCTCTATACTTAATGTGTTCATAGACCAGGCTATCATACCCACCAGCTTTGCCATTCTTAAGTTTCTTACATACTACCCGCATGTCGTCCGTGGTAAACATTTCTGACAGAAATATATCTTTCTCTTGATTAGACCGATCAATTTGGTATCATCCGCAAATAATTATATAATTTGATGATTGTTTCGACACATTCTAGTAGATCGTTTATAAAGATTAAGAATAAAATCGGTCCTAGTACGCTTCTTTGAGGTATTCCACTTTTTCACTTCTGCCCAACTAGATGTTTTTCCATGTACCACGACTCTTTAATTGATGACTTCCTTTTAATAACATCTGTTATAATATCTATATCCAATTTCCAAAATGTGATATACGTAGTGTAATGTATTCCTTTTACCTGAACAAATATCATTATTATTTCCATATCCTCCCAGCTTTGTTAATAGTCGATCGTGAGGCACTGTATCAAACGCTTTTTTCGAAATCTAAATACACAATGTTCACTGATTCGTCTACAATTTTAATTATGAAATCCAGGACTTCCAGTAGTTGTGTTGTTGTATAGTTTCCTTTCCTAAATCCAAATTGATGTGTTGACAAAACGTCCCCTATCTCTAAGTGCCTCATTATCCTCTATGATACACTCCAATCACAGGGGCTTGTATAGGACTTATATGATAAAATTAACTTGAAATACATATATATATATAAAGACTTCAAGCTAATTTTATCAAATAAGTCTATACAAGCCCCTGTGCTCCAATACGCTCCTATATGATACACCCCTCTACGCCACACTCCTCTACGCTTGGAGTGTATCGTAGAGGAATGGAATTACAAGTCTGATTTTAATTAGATTAATTGTTTCCCATGCATTTTCCAATCTGTATCTGTATGGATACGCTGACGTAATCAAAACTGGTGTGTTACAGAGATGAGAGAGAGCGCTAATAGTTCTTAGTCGCGCGATTCGAGGGCTGTTTTAAAGTCCTCAACACTACTGCATTGGATTATGGTATCTGGTAGATGGTTCCAGTCTATTACAGTACGTATAAAGAAGGATTCGTATAAAGAAAAATTAGCAGATTATTATATGAAAAAGAAATAATGAAATAGTTGTATTAAAAGTTTTTTTTTACATATTTAGCACGAGTCTTGACTGAGTGATGTCCCCTTAGCACGGGTACGGGAGTAGACAAAACACCCGCGATCCTCGCCCGCGATCACAACAAAGTCAGAATTTCATGTGAAATATGTCGTTTATTTCAACGAAACTTACATAATTATAAACAGTAAGGTATTTTGTTCTATATATCTGAAAATAACATGTAATTTTCTCTCAATATCAAATTATATATGAAAAACCATGATTTTCACGGTTGACTGCGGCGTACAAGTTTTACCCCCTTGAAATAAACATTATCGTCAATTTCTAAATTATTGGATGATAAATTTACATTTTATTAACAGTCACATTTAGAAAATAATGTTTGAAATTATTGTATAATTTTATAAAAAATATAAACGATCGCGTTAATGAGATATTAAATATATCTTTATGCCTGGTACGGGGTTTTGGGACGGGAGCGGGAGCGGGGTACAAGATTTACCTTCCACCAATAGATTTCCTTTTTTTGTGTAAGTCCGGGTCACTTCGTGTATTCTTTTTAATATTTTGTTGGATTATGTTGTATCGGGGACTACTTCCGTGACCGGGTTGAGTAAATCGACACTTGTATGGGGCTAATGGGTATTGGTGTAGAAATTGACAGACTCGTACGTAATGCTCGATTCTACTTTCATTTTGCACAACACCTTTTCATGTCTTCATGCGTTAGAGAGTTCCGTCTGGCGGATGGCGTGAGTGTTGTCATTATCAGCCCCTAACTTGTTTGTTTCTCTTGTGTAGTTGAACCTGTTCTTGTTGGTATACGCATCTTTCCGTAGCATATAGATAGAGTGTATATCGTTTTTCATATATTATCGTAAAATGACAAAATTTGGAGACATGGACGTTTCTGGTAGCCAGCTGTTGTTTGTTTACAAAAACACACAGATAAAGTGTGAGCGTATGATCTTGCATGGGGAGAAGAATTGTAACGGCAATAGGCCTAACGGAAGGATTTATATGAATTACGGTATTCAGAGCAGGCGGGGGTATCCTTCCACCTAACAAACATGATAAAGACCTACTTTTGAATATGCCTTGGCTATAAATGGGAATGGCAAGTCAAGGGTGGAAATTTCAGTGTGATTAGGATGTGCAAGTTATACGGCTCAGTAACAGAAGAAAGAGAAAAGGTAACGTCAAGACCTTGGTTCGAACCCAGGAGTCCCTCCAAACTCTAGATGGACGCTCTTCGAATTGAGCTACCTGGTCGCTGACCCAGTCCAGTTCTGCTTCACAGCAATTTACTGTAGTTTATAGATTGAAGTAAAATAGGTTACGTACTGTGTCTCGGATAAAGACAAAACAAACATTATTCATGGTTTACCCCAAACCAAACTTAGGCCATCAAAAGAGCACTTGAGCACTTCTGATCTAGCATTGCTATCATGAACCATACTGTATATAATAATTATATTTCTCTATTTTTAACAGATACCAGCTGTGACATTTGAGAAGAGAAGCTGGGATCTGCTGTCTTCTGAAGGAGAAAGGAAAATCAAAATACTCAAATTTCTAAAATTACTGAATGAAGTTATCCACTGGATGGAAATGATGCAATACATAAGGTCACTGTGTTTTAACGTACATGTATTTCAGTGAAAGACAACATTTCATGGCTGTGGTTCATTTATACATAACAAATGAGGGAGGAATGGGTTTCTGAGATCACCAACCGTGAGGGGCTTATACTCCTGTTTGTAAACTACACCTTCTTCTCTGTGATTTTTCTAGTGTGTCTCCTGTTCATGTTGTGTTTGGCCAATACTACATCCTCACCTAATGACCTTCTTTTGTCCTTGATGCTTCTGGCAATGAGTTTTGTACTGGTCAACATGGTCATTGCTGATTACGTTGTGTGTACGATATATTCTCACAGGGATCCCCGACCCATCATGTGACCTGTTGTCAGTATGACCTTGGGAGGCAGGTGTCAGTAGTTAGATTAGATATATATATATATATATTTCAATTATAGAAAATTACCCTAGATCTCTAAGTAGGTGTTTAGTGAAAATTTGATAGTATATGTATCAATGTTTCATTTCAAGAAATTTTGAAATACAATCGGGAACCTTTCATTAATAATGTCAAACTCGCGGAATATTAAACAAATCACCCGCCATGTTGATGCAGGTGTGATACACCTGACATCAGGAACAAATATCTCAACAAACCAAATTGAAATTGAATCACCATTAAGTCCCTCATCAAGTTATGTCAAAACTAAACTGGAAAAAGAATTAAGTCCTGACTTTATAAATGCTTTCATCTTGGCACACTGGGATAACATTTTGGGACCACGAATACTTAATGTGTGGCTGGGTACGGATTGTCATCTAACGGAACAGATGCTGAATCAAGTTTGTAGTCGTTCATTGAGTGGAGAGATATGCCGAGACATTCAGGACAGCTTTGTGGACTTCAAATTTCTTGACTTGGCAGAGATGGACATGATCTTGGCAGGATTTGTGTTTATAGCTCGAGGTAATAGCGGCCTTGGTGTTCACTCCTTGTCTGTGCTGATGCCACATTCTGAACTCCGATCATACCTGGAGATCCATGAACTCCTCTCTCGATGTCTAAACGGAATCATCAACAAATTACGGAGGTTTTTACACATGGTAAGGTGTCAAACAAAAGACAATATTTCCAGAGCTATTTTTATTGACATGATTTTCCAAACAGGAGATAGCAGTTTCCTTTCCAGAGATATTTTGTCATGAAATAAATCCATATAACAGTTATCTGGATTTTCTTCCTACAAGCATTAAGATATACTCCACTGTAATGTTTCACTGACAGGTTTCTATTCCATAATGGATATATTTTGACCAGCAGAAAGTAGACTTTAAAAAAATGCTGCTGCATGTATCACACCTATGTTTACACTTCTTTCTCACTTTATGTAAGCTTGTAGAAAAACTTGTTTTCTGCATGAAATTATTATTTGATATTTTCAGTCTGATACGCCGCACCCAGATATCAATGGAGAGTTTGTCAGTAGATCTAGAGACTGCCTGAAGATGCTGACATCTGTGTACGAGTTCTCGCTAGCAGTACCCATCAGTGTAAGTGATCCTTCATCAGACACTACCCACCATCGAAGGCAGTCCTCTATAACACAACATAATCAATGCATTTGTATCATTTGTCAATCTGTCTAATTCAATTCATGCCCACAGGACATATTAGCTAAAGCCATGTCGCATTATCTGTCATCTTTTCACTTTAACAACTTCTTCTGAAGAACCAGAAAGCCTGGTCATGACATTTTGCATGTAGATTCCTGGGATGGAGCCAGACTAAATTTGCAAATAAAAAAATGCAGACTTTGATATTCTTTCAAGGTCAAAGATGTCAAAAACTTCAAATGACCTCTAGCTTATAAAAATTTGATAAGTCTGGAGTCATGATGTTTGGATAGCTAGTAGCTTCCAACAATGGATCCCAGCAAGGTTTGCAAAATAATTATCTCTGCCTACTTTCAAGGTCATGAGTCAAATGTGTTAAATCTTCAAACAACTTCTGAATTTTCAAGAGGACTCTGGTGATGATATTTTGCCTGTAGCATACTTGATAAGTTGTATTGACTTAAATTCAGAATATTATTATTCCACACCTCTGACATTGTACAAACTGGCTAAATATTTCAGTCCCAGTAATGTAGAGGTTCCCTAACAAGTGGTAGTTGGTTATCAAGTTTATCTAGCTTGAGTAATTTTATAAGAGATATAAAAGATTTAGCGAGTATCTTTTTACAATTTGAGAACTTACCATCATATGTTTGGGGACCTTTTTCTCCCATAACATGTGGAAATCCTTGTCTTTCTCTTAGAAATGGGTGATTCCTGTTTCCTATCTGGGTTTTATTGCATTAATCATGATGTGTTTGGACCCCTGTAAATACAAATAATCATTAGGAAATCCTGATGATGACAATTATCTTTCCAGCTATCCGAGACATTTCTGAGTCCCTCTCACCAGCTGGAGAGAGATTTCCTGTGTCGCTGTATTGCAGCTCACCTGCTCACGTTTGGTCACAGCCTAGTGATTGGGGAGAACAGCAACAGAATCAACTTGGTAGGTAGTTTACATTATCTCAGTACAGGGGTCCGAAGGATTTGGTCCATATTTCGTGTGGAGCATCCGTGGGTGAAGGGGAACCAATTTTGTGGTTTTAGCCCCGAGGGGCCTGAGGGGAGGGGCCCAATAAGGGAATTACAGCAATTTCTTCTTTGAAATCCTTCTTCTGAAGGAATATAAGGATTTGGTCCATATTTGGTGTGGAGCATTCTTTGGTATAGAGGAACCAATTTTGTATAAACGGTTGGTCTTGCCTCGGAGGGGCTTGAGGGGCAGGGCCCAATAGGGGAAATATAGCAAATTATTCTTTAAAATCCTTCATCTGTAGGAATGAAAGGATTTGGTCCATATTTCGTGTGGAGCATCCGTGGGTGAAGGGGAACCAATTTTGTGGTTTTAGCCCC